CAAGTCTCAGCTCACTGACACAAACGCAAACAACACACAGCAACACAGCACGCGTACGTGCGCCTGCACGTGTACAAATTGTTACGCCGCAACGTAAGCGGCGTGAAATTGCGCCAAAAACAAGCGAAGAGCCGAAAACGCCGAACATTACTCTTACGAATACCACAGCGAACTTTTGCACCACGGTGGAATTTGATATGCATCAAGGTGCGGCGACTATACCAGTTTCCTATACCACCACACCAGCACGTTACGCGAATCTCTGTCAATTTGAGAAGTATTTACAAAAATTAATGACGCTTATCGATGTGCCCGCCATCATAGACTCTGCACGAAATTTATTTGTTGATAAGCAGGCCTTAGCCGAAGCGCACGCCGCCTTACTCGCACAAGCCACACAATCCGACGATGACGGCAATGCAATTTCGGAACCACTTCTAATGAAATACCACAAAGACGGCACCATATCGATACTAAATGACAATGATGAATGTATTATATTGACGGCGAGCATGTCGAAAATGGTGAAAAGCCTATCTTTAGCCTTAAGCATTCTGCAGGAGCAAGAGTCACCAGTGCTGGGTATTCGTGCGCGTATACATGCTTTGCTCAAGCAATTAACACAAACATCTACAACAAAGTGTGCACATGTTGCGCCAAATGTTAACAATTCAACTATTATACCAACGGCGGTGGTGAATCCCACCAATTTGATTGATACTAGTCATGATATCGAAATTAATGCACCACATGCTATGGAATATTGTAGTGATATTGGTGAAACAGTGGTCAGTCAACAGGTACCACCACCACTTCAAGTTATCAATGCAAATTTCCAAAATTTACAGTTGTATGCCGGCAATTGGCAGCATGTAGAAGATAGCGGTTTAATAACGAGTATACCCAATACGGAATTACAAATCACAAATATAGATGCGCTGCCATTTGCAGCAGATGCCGGCGCCACTAATTATGAGAATGCGATCGCTTTCAATTTTGACGAACACGCCACCATACTTGCCACGAATGAAAATACAAATGCACAGCGGTTTGAAAACGCCTTTCAAACGACTTTAGAGAGCGCAGGCGGCAGAAATGCTGAGGGCGATCAAAATAAAATTGTATCTTGGTCACATGAAAAACCGTCTGACAAAGTAACGCAGCCACTGAATTGTACAGAWGTTGTATATGAACAAAATGTTACCCAAAGTCATGAACATGGCGCAACTGGGCGCTTAGACGTTACTAATGATAATTTACATACAGTAATAATTGACGAAATAGCTGCTAACGGCAGCTACAATAGGGGTGACACTGTAATTGAAAGTTATGCTATGCCAACTTTTAAAACTCATGCTATAGCTACGGTTGATAGCAATCTAGTGGCAGCAGTGTCGCCAAAGAGCGAAAAATCCAAAAAGATACAACGCAAGAACGATAATTATCAGCATGTGCATACGCAACCTAACGTAAAACCCAATGCCAATTCCAGTACTAAAAAGATGGCAAGTAAACGTGTAGAAAAAGTATCGAAAGCTCTGTGTGGTAATTTAGCGGCAACTGTAGCAGTCCCGCCGCAGTCGCATACACAGAACACATCCAACAGTAAAGTAAGCCACGTGCAACATAGTAGCACCCCAATACACAGTCACTCATCCACCATTCATTATCGTCACACTCCACATTCAGTGACTGTAGAATGCAAACCCACCACCACATTGCATTACAAACAATCAACACCGTGTCAACAGCAGCAACCTCAGCCCATCGCCAGTCTGCAAGCGTCAAGTCAAGCAAATCACGTGCCACAACCAATACCACACATCAGTATTGATAGTGTTAGTAATACACCATTATTTTCACAGCAATATGCACAGAATTCCATGCTGTCCGGTGGTGTTGGTCTATTCCATAACCATAATAATATTAGATATATACTAACGACGCCACATACTCGTACACATTTTGCACCTGCAAGTACAACACTGTCGAATTGTGCCATCATTCCACTAAACACGACACCAGAAACACCAGTGCAATATCCTTATCAGCTGCACACCTTACAAGCACCACCGAATTTTAGCGATAACTTAAAACTAAATGAACTTGAGCTGCAAGCTATAATAAAAAATTCTGAAGTTGTCGCGAGTAGAGCGACTACAGCTGCTGTTGCCCCCACTACAACTACATCAACTACAAAATTGTTGCGCAGCTTTCGTAATGTTCCGCGTGCAAATGCATTATCGAAAACTGTTGTTACGCCCACTTACATGCTTAACAATGATGCACAAATAACTAACGAGGGTATGTCAATAACAATGCAACAACCGCAACATCAGCAGCATACACCACAGCAATCAATACATCTACTAGAACCCGCAAGTACGTTAATAATCGGTGATATACAACACAATCAGGAAGCAGAATTCGACTGCTTGCGCCAGGAAACACCACTTCAAACTGTATTGCAAGAGCCACAAGCGCAACAACAATCACAAAATCAAAGAGTGTACACCACATTAACACCAATTTTACCGGTGCAAGCTGAACACCAGTACAACGATGAGCGGGAAAAAGCGTTATTAACACAACAACAACAGCGCCCACCAACACCAATGCCAATTTTAAAGCCTTCTCACATCAAAGCGCCAACATCGCCAAACACACCAGCCTCCAATGTCACAGTTAATCGTAAACGTGGACGCCCGCGAAAGTATAATTTAGGTGAGAATACTTCCGCTTGCGATGCAACGCAAAAGCATGCCAAATTAAGTGAGTGCCCAAAAATACGACCAAACGCAGCGGCAAGCCCAAATGCGAGCGCTCGTAATAAACTGCAATCAAACAAGTCAACAAATGCAAAAGTTCGACAAATATTACCAGCAACTCATCACACGTTAACTAATGAATCGCATGATTTAGCGACGCCACAACCAACACCATTACCGCCACCGCCACCTCTTACAAAGTTATCGCCTAGTTGTTCGMCACATGAACTAAGACCCTCAATTGCTAGTTCTGCGAATTTCATCGAAAATATGGCTAATGCCGTTGAGTCTAATAGTTCGCAAAGTGTCAGGCCAACAGCTACAGTTGGTCAACAGCAACAACAACACCTGTCACAATTCCATATGCCTGACTTACAAACAACTAACGACAGCCAGAACAATGTATGATATACTAGTTTGCACGAAGAGTTATTTAATAATACTTTTCGTTTTGTCGATATTTAAAAAACTCGTTTAACCAGAGACCTTCTTCTAAGTCAGCTTATATTTCTTTAATTAAAGAGAAATCTGCAATGTGAATTTTTTCCATTAATGGGATATTTAATTTTAGCCTTCTATAAATTGTAGCTGTAACCGCTGCAAATTTCAATATAAACTAACAACAAATAGTTTGCCATTTATTTATTTTTTTTTTTTGCTTTAGAAGGCATGCTCATTAATCCGTCAGTGAAGTCTAAGCTTTTATTTAACATTAAAGATATTTTATTTGTACTTTTTGGCATAAATATTTTTACCTCATTGTGAACGCGATTTTTCCATGGGATATGAAGCCCTAATTTACATGACATATTTGTGAATTGCGCACTGAAACTGAAAAAGTCTTTCTGGCAATAAATTCCATTTAATGTAATTATACTTGTTTAGATATTTTTTTTTTTTATTTTTATTATTTAGGGCGAGGATTGTATACAAATATACTAAGTTAAAGCGGCAAGATGCAATTTACTCTATTACTTTATAAATAATATCTAAGTATTTTATATTTTATTTTTTAATATTTATATAAAATAGCAATTTTGAACGGATTTCAATATAAGTTTATATGTATAATCACATTTCATTGTATTCTACTATACTCAAATATTATTTACGAATTCCTTAAAGATAACAGTGAACAATTTTTTACAATTTAGAATTTATTGTGAGCCTTTTTATTATCTTCTTCAGCGTCAACTTTAGACAAACTTGCCATTGATTTCTAGTGAATTTCTAAACCTAGAAATGCAATCAAGATCAAAATTGACCCGGACTGGTCTATATAAACTCGCACACAAACTGAATCGATAAATATTTTTACTTTTTAGATTAATACAAACTTTTTTTATATTCGTTCGAACTTTTATCTTTATATGTGAATTAGAGTTTGTTTGGCAATTATTTTTACCACGCGAAAGGGTCAATTTTGATCTTGAGTGTAGATAAACCATTGTAAATAACTTACCACCGCTTTTCAACCCAATGTATTATTAATTCAACAAGAACGAATTTTCTTAATGCTAAAATAAAAAAAAATTGTAATATTTTGAATTAAGAAAAATATTTTTAAGCTGTACTTCTGCAAATTTTTGAGATTTAGTCAAAAATTTACCAACTCAGTTTTTAGGTACAAAATTACTTGTAAACAAATTTTTCAATACAGTTCATCTAAAAGTAATTTAGTTATAGATTTATATCTTTGTATTTTGAACACTTTGAAAACATGACAAGAAAATATTACGCTCCTTTCGTACTTATTATTTTAATAATTAATAATCAATTTCAACTTTCTTACACGTTCGTAAAAATGATCGAACAATTATATTTAGCTCAAATATATTTTATATAATACATTTTAGTATATTTTACTTTAAGCAGAGTTAGAAAACATTAATTTAATCATTTAATTTAAATATTTAACTTTTAGTACAACTTATTTTAAGCAGAGTAAGAAAACATAAATTTACATTAAGCAACATTGAGACGTTTAGACTTTGAATATTTAATGTCTTGGACGTTATTTGTATACCTTTTTTTAAAAAAAATCGTATATGTTTATGTGTTTTCTTATATTTATATAGGTTAATATTTATATCGGTTAAGGCTACTTCAAACATAAATAAGCATAATTAAGGCAACTACAAGCATTAGCCGTAAGCTTCTGAAACTGATAAGATTGATTTTTTTTCTATAATTGTTCATAAATATTTTAAAGTTAGAAAATGAATTTGTTAGCTTTAATTACTGCGATACCAAACCGCTTACCTTCTTATATTTATCTGGGCAAACTAAAAGCAAACTACTCTACCTTGTTCTATGGAGAACGCAAATCTGTATTACCTACAACTATTCATCATATACCTGGTAAATACCTAGATGTTAAAATTAGTGTACTTTACAACCTTTTCTATAATTTCTACATATTTTTTATATACATTCTTGAAAATTCTAAACGCAAAAATAAAAACCAAAATGTATATGTGCAATTAGTAGTGTGGCATGTGGCGCTTTACAAAATGTTTTTCATAATTATGCAACTAAACTTCAAACGTATTTTCGTGTCATTTTAACTAAAGTTGCTGCAACAAATTTTTTGGTAAAATAATTAATTTACGAACTGAAATACTAAATATTGGTTTATGAAATATCTAGCTACTGTGTAATATCTGTCGGTCAATATTGAGTTAACATTTTATGTGTTTGGTAGTATTACTTAATTACTATGAAATTGGACTTGAGTAGAAATGTGGCATAACACATTTTTTGCATAACAAACTGTTTATCTGTGATAAATCTATAATCAGCCCATTTAGGCTAGTCAACGCACGTTCGAACCAATTTTGTAAAACAAAACAAACGATACTGGTACTTAAAATTTTTTAACCCCTTTCTTCTATCACGTTGTAGTTTTACAAAATTGTATCGATGAAATTTGTTATGGTTCTCGGCAGATATATAATATATTGGTTTGGCATTGAAATGAGGAAATAAAATTTTTCTTAAGTTTTGCCATTATTATTATAATAATTGTTGACGAAAATGCGTATATCAGCTGCTACATATACTCGGATACCGGGTTTTATATTTACGCTTCTGCACAGCTAACTATCACTAAGTTTGTTTCTTAACTGGAAACTATTACTACATAGCAAAGTTTCTGCTGGAAAAGCGTTTCTTACCCGAAAAACTAGTAGAAACTAGCAGAAGAGAGCACAAATTTAAAGCGTAAATAGCTGAAGAAGCTTTTGATGAATTTTCAGCTGGCAGAAAATAGCTGTTAAACAAACGAAATTTGACGCATTTTCGCTGAATTCGTTTATTTTTATAATTTATAATTTTGAAAAAAGGGTCTTTATTAATTTTTAATATTGAGATGATGTGATTATTAAAAATCCTCCCTTTCGAATTTATACTACTTTTCTGTTTCTTTATTTTTCTGATATGTCCATTGCACTCATCTGCTATATTAGATATTTAGTTCAAAAGAGGTAATCTGAATAACTGTGTTCAGCTGGGGGAGTATTTTGAAATCGTTCTTCTCGTTTACAGACCTGCCAATTATCACATTCCTCTCCTTCTTGAGAGCTAGCAACACCTAGTAATTTAGAAACAAACTTAATTATTTTACTTTTCGTCACATTATGTTATCATTCCGTTTTCTGCATACTATGTCTGCCTTAACTAATTATAAATATATGCATAAATAAAATGGCAACGCATTAAGAATAATTATTCAAAAATGTCATAATTATTAGATATAGCTTTCAAACAAAAAAATATATTAGCTTGACAAAATCTGACGAACCCATTGGCTAGAATATTTTAAAAGATGTGTACTTAAATTTTCCTACCTCGTCCAACTAATAACTGTGCATATATATTTTGAGAGTGTTATTTTCCATTTATTTGACAAATCTAACACACATCAAATTTTCTTAATTGTTCTAAAAGCATTCCTCATTAATGCCTTAATTAATTCTAATTCTAAAGTTTTACTATAATCTACTTGCAATTAACACATACAAATTTCTATATATTTCCGGCTTATTTAGAGCATATCAACGCAATCGCAACACTATTTAGCAGTTATAAAATCTCGAAACCGACACCGGCCAGTGGCGCCGCAGCACGCAATAGCGGCAGCAACACCACACAATTAAACAAGCCTAAATATAAAGCTGGACCAAAGTCTATGCATATGTCGCGTAAAACGACTGCAATGTCGGAAACGAGTAAATATTCTATGAACTCGCCACGGTCTATCTGCAATTCTCAATCACCGACCAAATCACCACGTAGCCACTCTACATCACCGGCCAGTTTACGTGCCAGTAGTCCCGTTATTATTGCACCCGAGACAGCAGCTGATCCGAAGTTGAATAAGAAATGCGTTGTGCTAATGAAAGAAAATGAGGAGGTCATCAAGTATAAGAGACAACAGGTCGCTTTCATTAATGAATTGTTGGAGAAACAAAGAGAAATGCAACGCCAGCGCGCACTAAAACGACAAGAGTTCCAGAATATCTTAAACCAAAAACGTAAAGAAGGTAAACGCTTGAAGGCGGAAATTTCACAAATTAAAAAGCAGCAAACCGCAGCGCACGAAACGGTTTTAGACACAGAATTACATCAACCACAACAATCACCGACTATTTTAAATCGCAAACGCTTACTGGTTAGAGAAAGAAATGTAACATTCAAAACTAACACAAAAGTCCGAAGCCGTTCTACGACGCCCAACCGCTCAAATGATGAAGAGACGTCTGCTAAGGACATAGATACAACAAGTGCTGCTATAATGCAATCGGTAATAGGCGACACTTTTGAATTGGCGGCTGAAGCTATGCCTTTAAGCGATGAAGCGAATAGGACCTCTGTCGCGTTGAAAAATATAAACGTTGCACCAGTGTTGGACAAAAAATCTACAACTTCAGTTCGTTCGACAACCGGAGTGGCAAATGCAGAGCCAAATACATTAACGAACACGCCAAAAAGCAGAGTGCCGAGTACATCGTCACGAAGTAAAGCAATAAAAACTAATATAGCTGCAATATCAACACAAACCAAAGAAAGCTTGCCGAAAGCTGAAGAATTGACAGGCATGGAAATATCGGGAGCAGTAGTACCAACAACCAGTAAGACGAGTTTCAAGGAAAAACCGAAAATACCGGCCCCTCTAGCGTTAGCAACAACACCACCGTATACACGTTGTGCTAGATCAATGACACCCACACGTGGAGTTTATAATATGACGAAGCAGTCCGAAATGCATACCGAACGAACTACAGATAATTTGTTAATTAATTGTTCATCACCATTATCTACCCCCACATCATCTAAAACGCGTTTACAACGCGCGCCATCATTATCACCGTCAATATTCATGAATCGCAATCGTGTGGAGGTGCGACGTAGTATGCAAGATCCCACTAGTAACACAGACTTCCCTACAACCGGTTTACCCTCTTGGTTGCTAAATGTATCGCCGCGAAGTTTCACAAAAACATTAAAAGTTCGGCTGAAACGTTTACAGCATTCAAGTACGAATTCTACATCAGAGAAATCACCTGAAAAAGAAACCAGCGATAGAATTTCAATGCCAACTTCTGCCAAGCCAACTCTCTTAAAGGAACGTGTGGCTAACGCAACGTATACAGTTGCTAACGCGCTCATTGAAAATACAGGCACGGCAACACCAGAATCTCAAATTGAAAATAATAAACATGAGCGAGTGCAATTATTGAAACAAAAACTTAAAAAAGAGTTGTACGAAATGGGTGAATCTTTTGTACGGCCTGTCGATACAAAAGATAAAAACATACATCTGAAGTCAGCTAAGGATATAGCATATAATCAAGGAACGCAAACAGCTGAAGGGCGTATTAGCAAAGGATCACGGCGAAAGCACACAAAAAAAACGCAACAAAGCAACAAAAAATTAAAGGTTTTAAAAGTCAACATCGAAAAGCATACAAATAAAGTGCAATCCGATTTGCGGACTAACGAAAGCCCATGTGATAATGCTGCTGATTGTGACAGTAAAAATGCGAAGCCAGCGAAGGCAGATGTTGAAGACGGCTTACAATGTGATAGGACTGAAGAAACGAAAGAACTAGTTGGTTTTACTTTAGCAATTGATAACAATGAGCTTTGTCATAAAGGTAGCACACTACCTATTGAGTCTAGCGAACTTTTAGCGGATAAAATGCGTGGGCTTCATAGTGAAAACACCGCAAAACAAAAACAGTTTTCCCCAGAGCCTTCGAAGAATGATAAACACGCGAGTAAAGATGTCAAAATTATAAATGAGCGCAAAGGACCCAACTCAAATAATTCCATGAACGTTGATTGCGACAATGTTAACAATAAAAAACACAAAAGAACTCATAAACATGGCGCGATCGTTACGCAAGTTGTAGACGTTACACCTGGCCGTCATGTGAAGGATAATCTTTTGAGCGATTTATTGCTGGTCGCAGCTACAAACCAATCAACGGTGCTAAATGCTAATAACGTCTTGAACACTGCATCTAATTTAGCTATTATTGAACCGCCTGCTGCGGAGTTACCATTGCTCGGTAAAGTTGTGGAATCTAGTGCAAAGCGATCTGTCGGTCCCGCTGCGTTCGACAAGTCAAATAATTTAATGCCTGAAGGTATTAATGACAAAACGCATATTGAGATATCCGAGGAAATGGCGGTTGCCGTTTCGGGTCTCACAATGTTGGCGAATAGACCGATAACAACCGCAAACTCCGAAACCTGTAAAAACACGACTGAATTCCGACTTGAAAATGTGGACTTAATCTTGCCAAAGAAAACGTCCAACGAATCCATTTCCTCTGATTTGCAATGTATGGCTGAGCCAACGATTGCGATTGGTTTGATTAACGATACTCAAAGCCATGCAATGACGTCAGTCGACGCGTATGCAGCCATTGATGAACAAAAAAAAAGAGTAGTTGAAACTTCTAATGACATCATTGTAAAGCCAAATGATACAGGTGGCGTATCAGGTGGTGAGGAGTCGAACAGTGATTGTTTGTTATTGCAATTGTCAAAGCGTGTACATAAAATGTCCGATTTGGAAAGTATTGTCGATGCCACCACTGTGCATGTGATTAAGGACGCCACAATGACGCTGATGAGTTTCGAAGCCACGCCAACTTTGCCAGCTTACTTGCTTAATGGCGAAAGTCGTGATGTGCCTACACCACCAGCAATATCAACACCAGCGCCGACTCCTGCGCCCACACCCACCGCCGATTTAGCACCGGAGGCTGAACAGCCGAAGTCTGCACCGATATCGATACCAACACCAGCGTTGCCGGAAATAATGATAAAAGAGAACGCGCACGCCCCATCGCCAATAGATCTTATAATAAGAGACGAGTTTACTAAACCAAACGACTCAACAGAAGCAACGGTTTCAGTTAAAGTATCACAACCAGCGCAGAAACACATGATCTCTTTAGCAGATGCACCTTTACAAGCTCAACAAGAGCCTATTGTAATTGGCGAAGGTTTGTCTAATAACAGTTTGTCACCACCGCAAGAACAACAGCTTGAGGTAGAAGCAAATTCCCCGGCACCGGCAAGTGGTAAGTTTTATTTGTTCCGAAAAAACTATTAAATTAATTAAGTATTCAAAGTCGATAATCGATAATTCCCAAGTTATTTGATACATAGGCATTAATTCACTGTCTAATTTCATAATTACTCCGTTTATAGCAATATCGACCTCCGATCATGAAGTATCTTCAACCCAAGAGATCGTTTACACGCCAACAAAACGTTCTAATGCCAATACTCTCAATACCACCGCCGGAATGTCAATACCATTACCCAACGAAGAAGAGGCGGCAATGTGGGTACAAAATAGTCAAATAGACACAACACATCACCTGACAGAAAGTTCATATTACATGCGCAAGCGTGCGCGCAAATTTTCCGATGAATTTACTCTGCCGGAAAATAAAAATGAAAGTTCTGCTAAAGACATAATAAAACAAAGACGTAAAACATTTTCTTCTGAATCATCTCTAGCTATACAATTTCCATCGAATGCTACATCATTTACTAAAAATATTARAGAACTTACGAATAGCAGTGCAACGGCTGGCGCCGGTAGCGGTATAAATAATGGCGGCCAAAACAGTGGTGGTAGCTCACCATCTACCACTACTGAGCCAACGGCTAAGCATGCCCCACCACGTAGACGCAATCACATACAAAAACGCAACAATTCACAATCACCGCTAACAGCGCGGAGTCGCGCCGGTAGCAGTATTGGTGAATTGAATAGCAGTTTTGTATATAGTTGTAGCCGTTTACAACCGACTAACGTGGATATGGTGGATGTGGAACGTTGTGTGGTACTGCCAGCGAGCGCTGTTGTGCCACCGGTGAATTTAGGCAACATTTCGCGTACGTACTCGAAAAATAACATGTCTCAGATTAAGGTGTTCGTGCCACCTGATGTGGAAATGTGTTTGGAAAAAGAAGATACAGAAAAAGACGCCTTTATAGCTACCACCACAAGTAAACGTGGTCGCCCAAAAGGCAGTGTCAAAAATCGTAGTCGTAAGGAACCAAAACTCGAATCACCTGAAAAAGTGAAAGCAAAAAAGGCCGCTGCAAACCTAACTAAAACTAAAGCAATGCAATCTAAGAACAAGCGCGATAATGCTGATAGTCGTCCCAAGCTTATAGATTGCTCTTCAAAATCAACAACCACAAAGGCGCCAACGCGTACGAAGCACGTGGAGCGTGCTCCCAATCGTAAACGAAAATAGCATAACAACATTTCAAATACGCGTACACATTGGACCCCTGATGACGTTGATAATTATGATAGTGATTATGTTGTGCAAAATTGTGGAAAAATTTCGCCGCGCTCAACTTGGAATTTCTCTGAATATGAACGTTTGCACACACTGCGACCCCGTTTGAAGGAACAATTGCAGCGCATGATTCTAACTGAAGACATCTCACCGAATGAGGATTACATTGTGGAAGGCGAGCGATTAAATATGCTTGATATTGCTCATGGTAATGATATTGTTGACCCAAAGTGGAATGTGCCGGAAATGCAACCAATTGTTTTGGTGCAACGCATTACCTGCAGAAAGAGTGTAAACAGTGATTAGTTGTTTAGTAAAGTTGGTTTTGTTTTCGTATCGTTTTATCTGAAATATGAATGTGTTGTAAAATTTTATTGCGGGCGTGTCAATTGAATAAATGTTACATGTTCCAACGTTTTGTTAATTTAATTAGTCATTAATTATTTGAATAATTTCATTTGTATGTGTATACGTAAAATCAAAAATACAAAAAATTTTTAGAATATAAAAAGTACTGCCAGAGAGAAAATAAACATATGCACCCAAAACAATAATAAAACCGTCATACATACTAAATGCATAAATATCGCATAAATGTGAGAAAATAGTGGCAGAGAAGGAATTGTGGAAATATGTAATAAAGTTTGAAGGAAAACAATATATGGCTTTTGAAATGCATATTTCGTGTGAATTGTAAATAGAATGCAAAATATTCATAAAAATCAGACCAATATATAGATACGTAAATATATATACGAATATAGATTTTTCCTTAAATTTCATTGATTTCAATAAAGCTACTTATTGTACAAATTTTAAACTAGTTTTTGATTAAAGCCAACTGTAACATATGTAAAATTTAATATAACGGAATATAAAATGGAAATTTAATATACAAAACAAAATATTTTTTTTTTAATAAAATATATATTTTTATATAATAAAATTTTTTTTTTATATAATAAATATAACAAAATATACGAT